TTTTTTTTTTTCAACGTTTATTTATTTTTGGGACAGAGAGAGACAGAGCATGAATGGGGGAGGGGCAGAGAGAGTACAACTCTTGATCTTGGGGTTGTGGGTTTGAGCCCCATGTTGGGTGTAGAGATTACTTAAAAAGAAAACCTTTAAAAAAGTACAATAAACATTTTTCCTTTAGTTGACAAAACAGCCATAAACATGGCCCTAATTAATAAATACTAATACATTCATTAATAAATGCCAAATGCCCTTTTCTAGGGCTTAGGTAGACAGTGAGTGATCAAAACAAAGCCCTGTCCTCATAGCCAACATTTTACTATCTCATCTATGCTATCTGCGCACTCATTTATGTTACTGGGCAAAATTCTAACTCAAAAAACTCAACTACTGCAACAGTGTACTTAAAAATTAAAAGTGTGACTTCTGTACAAGAACAAAAATAACTTTGGGAGGGAAGATACAGTGTAGTACACCCATCTTTAGAAAATGAAGATCAGGAGAGCCTGGGTGGCTCAGTTGGTTGAGTGACTCTGGCTCAGGTCATGATCTCGTGGTTAGTGAGTTTGAGCCCCACATTGGGCTTCCTGCTGTCAAGCTTTGGATCCTCTGTCCCCCTCTCTCTGCCCTTCCCCCACTTATGCTCTCTCAAAAATAAACATTAAAAAAAAAAAAGAAAAGAAAAAAATAAAACTAAGATCAGGTTGCAAATGAGTGAATCTTTTTTTGAAAGATTTTATAAGCAGACACAAAGAGCTGTAATTATGGTTCCAACTGATTTTTTTGCCTCAATGGTTTATGTTTGATACCCTGGATCCCTCAAATTGTAAACTGTGAAAGAGAATTCGGTTATAATTCTAAAGCTAAAAAAAATTATTTTCAACTTAGCCAGTCAAGTTTCAACTTGAGTCTGATGTCTAAACATGCAATTAAATTATATTTAATGACTAGGTTTCATTAAAATGTGTGGTAAGGACCAAATTATCACATTTGACTCTAGACAAGAGAAATTAAGTAAAACTTTCAACAGTTTATTTGAAAGATGTATTAGGGGACAGAGAAACTTGGACGTTTGTTACCAACTTTAGTGAGGTATAATTTACATGCCATAAAATTGACATGCTTTTAAGTGTACAACTGAATGACTTTTTAGTAATAAAATTTGCAGAGTTGTACAACCATTATTACTATCTAATTTTAAAACATTTCCATTTTCCTGAAAAGATCTATCAAGTATATATGCAGTTATTTCCTGTTCCTACTCCCTGCCCAGGCAACCACTTATCTATGGTCTCTACAGATTTTTCTCCTTCTGGAAATTTCATATAAATAAAATTATATAATATGTGGTCTTATGTGCCTAGCTTTTATCATTTAGTATGTCTTCTGAGGTTCATCTATGTTATAACATGCATCGGTACTTCATTCCTTTCTATTGTTGAATAGTACTCCACTGTATACATAAACCAAATTTTGTTCATTCATGAGTTGATTGCCAATTGGGTTATTTTCAGTTTGGGGCTATTATAACAATACTATAAACATCCATATACAAGTCTGTATGTGGATATGTTTTCGTATCTCTTGGGTACATACATAACCGGAGTGAAACTGCTGGGTTATGTGGTAATTTTATATTTAACTGCCACACTGTTTTCCAAAGTGACTGGACCATTTTACATTCTTACCATTTACATTCTTACTGGACCATTTAGCAATTAGGATTCTAGTTTCTTTACATCCTCCCTAACACTTGTTACTACCTTTTTTATTACAGCTACCCTGGTGGTGGTATCTCATTGTGGTTTTGTTTTTCCCCTTGACTAATGACGTTGAGCATCTTTTCATGTGTTTCTTGACCATTTATCTTGTTTGGAGAAACAGCTATACAAATAGTTTGCTCATTTTTTAATTGGGTTGTCTTTTTATTGTTGGATTTTAAGAGATCTTTGTATAGTCTGGATACTAGACCCTTCAGATACATGATTTGCAAATATTTTCTGACATTCTCTGGGTTGTCTTTGTACTTTCTTACTAATGTTCTTTGAAACACACAAGTTTCAAATTTTTTTTTTTTTTTCAACGTTTATTTATTTTTGGGACAGAGAGAGACAGCATGAACAGGGGAGGGGCAGAGAGAGAGGGAGACACAGAATCAGAAACAGGCTCCAGGCTCCGAGCCATCAGCCCAGAGCCTGACGCGGGGCTCGAACTCACAGACCGCGAGATCGTGACCTGGCTGAAGTCGGACGCTTAACCGACTGCGCCACCCAGGCACCCCCACAAGTTTCAAATTTTGATGAAAATAAAAACATCAATTTTTTTCTTTCATGCATTGTGTTTTGAAATCTTTGCCTACCTCAAGATAACAAATATTTATGTCTGCCCTTTTGTCCTAAGTTTTATAGTATTAGTTTTATTTAGGACCATCATCCTTAAAATAGTAATAATAGTAAAATAGTAATAATAGTAATAATAATAGTAATAATAAAATAATAAAATAGTAATACTAAAAATAATAGTAATAAATAATAAAGTACATATACATGACATATAATTGACCATTTCAACCTTTTTAAAAATGTACAGTCCAGGGGCGCCTGGGTGGCGCAGTCAGTTAAGCGTCCGACTTCAGCCAGGTCACGATCTCGCGGTCCGGGAGTTCGAGCCCCACGTCAGGCTCTGGGCTGATGGCTCAGAGCCTGGAGCCTGTTTCTGATTCTGTGTCACCCTCTCTCTCTGCCCCTCCCCCATTCATGCTCTGTCTCTGTCCCAAAAATAAATAAACGTTAAAAATGTACAGTCCAGTGGCAATAAGTACATTTCCATGGTGTACAACCATCACCACCATCCATCTCCACAACTTTTTATCATCCCAAACTAAAACTGTATCCCTTAAATAATAACTCCTAATTCCCCTCACCTCCTGCTCCTGGGGACCACTGTTCTACTACCTTTATGAATCTGACTACTTTAAGTACCTCATATAATAGGAGGAATCATATAATTTGTCCTTGGGTAACTGGCTTATTTCACTTAGCATATTTTCAATATTCATCCATGTTGTATCATGTATGAGAATTTCCTTCCTTTTTAAGATTAAAAAATATTCCATTGTGTGTTTATGACATTTTGTTTATCCATTCATCTAGTGATGAATAAATGGGTTGTTTCCACTTTTCGGCTATTGTGATTAGTGCTATGAACACTGGTGTACAAGTACCGAAGTCTGTATTTCAATTCTTTAGAGCATATACTCACAAGTGGAACTGCTGAATTATACTATAATTCTGTTTAATTTTTTGAAGAGTTATCAGACTATTATCCATTTTTGTCAATTTTATGTATGGTTTAAGGGTCTAAATTTATCTTTTTGCATGTTGATACCCAACAACATTAGCACCATTTACTGAAAAGACTCTTATTTGGGAACCATTAAATTGTCTTGGCATCTTTATCAAAAATCAAGTGACTATAAATTAAAGAGCTCATTTCTGAATTCTCAGTTCTGTCTCACTGATTCACATGTCTGTCCTATGCCAGTACCACACTGTCTTAATTTTTGTTGCCTTATAGTAAATTTTAAAATAAAGAAGACCAAGACCTCCAATTTTGTTCTTTCTCTTCACCTCCCCCACCCTAAGAATGGTTTGGCTATTCTGGATCCTAGACATTTCTATATAAATTTTATAATCAGCTTGTTGATTTCTACAAAAAAGTTTCCTAAAACTTCTGTAGAGATTGTGCTGAATCCATAGATTAGTTGGAGGAAAAATTAAGACTTTAGTAATACTGTGTCTTCCAACCCATGAAGATGGACTGTTTCTCTAATTATATAGATCTTCAATTTCTTTCACCAATGTTTTGTAGTCTTCTGTTGAAATTATTACTATTTTGATCTTTTTGACAGTGAATGGAATTCAGTGCTGTGAATGATGAAATTGGGTTTTTAATTTTTGAACTGTTCATTGCTTGTATATGAAAATACAATGGATTTCTGCATAGTGACACTATATCCTACAACCTTGCTGAACTAATCTAGTTCTAGCAGTTTTGTGTCTATGTAGATTCCTTAGGATTTTCTACATACAGGAGCATGTCATTGGTGAATAAAGATAGTTCTACATCTTCCATTCCAATCTGGATGCCTTTCATTTTCTCACCTGACTTCACTGACTAGGACCTTCAGTATATTCAGCATATTCCACTTCAGTAGAATATAAGTAGTGAGAGTAGACATCCTCACCTTGTTTCCAATCTTAAGGAGAAAGCATTCAGACTTTCACCATTAAGTATGACGCTAGCTACAGATCTTTTGAAGTAAGATACAGGTCCCCAACAAAATATGGTTAAATTGTCTATTTTGTTCTTCAATTACGGCAGTTTTTGTTTCACATATTTTGGGGCCTGAGGATAGGTATGGATATGTTTATAATGTTCTATTTTCCCAATGTTCCTCTTTGTCTCTAGTAATACATATTTTTTGTCTTAAAGTCTATATTGTCTGATATTAGTATAGCCACTCCAGCTCTCTTATGGTTACTGTTTGTATGCAATATGTTACCATCCTTTTTCTTTCAACCTATGTGTCTCTGAATCTAAAGTGTTTCTCTAGGAAACAGCATACAGTTGTAGTTTTTTATCCAGTCTGACAATAACTCATAGATTTTAAAGAAGAGCACTTTCCTCTACTATGGAAGGTCATTCTTCTGAACTACACATAACACTGGAATACACAGAAGTAAGAGAAGAGACACTCTTCAGACATACTAATAACCCTGGCAATCACTACAGTGACAGGTGAGGCCAGATTTATTTAATCAAGTAACCTACCTCTCAGCCACTGCTAGCAGCCTTTCTGGCCTAAAAGTACCTTCAGTGTCAATGTACATGGCCTTTCCTTCTCCTCCACCTCGGTCAATGGGAAGCTAGAGAGAACAAAAATAACAATGTGGAAATGAACACTGTACTTTTTCTGATATAACTAATCAACTTCCCCATTCACCCCAATTAGGCAAAGGGAAAAAATACATTAAAGAGACACTCAGAAGTAGGGAGGAAGCATTCCCTTCTAAGAGAAATACAAATAGTACAAACAAGGAATTATGAAGCTCATGGTGACCCACACCAAGTGAATCCAGAGTCCTACCAGAGTTGGATTGCTTGGAAATACAGTTCAAAGTAGATGATAAAATTCTAAGTGTGCATACCAATATAAGACTGAACAATTCTCTCAAAAATACAAACATTAAAAAAATTTTTTTTCAGATCCCAGATAAGTTTTTTTTAATGTTTTTTAATTTTTGACAGAGAGAGAGAGAGAGAGAGAGAGAGAGCGCGCGCGCGCAAGCGAGCATGGGGTAGGGACAAAGATTGAGGGAGACATAGGATCTGAAGCAGGCTCTGCATTGTTAGCAGAGAGCCTGATGTGGGGCTCAGATGCACAAACCGTGAGATCATGACCTGAGCCGAAGTTGGATGCTTAAATGACTGAGCCACCTAGGAGCCCGGAGTACAAACATTTGAAAGATTATTTACTACGTTAGCTTGTAAGTTTAAAGAAAAAAAGAAAAAAGAAACTCATTCCAATAGTACCTACAGGCGTTAAAAATGAACAAAAGGAAAAAAAGGAGAGTTTTTTAAATAAAAAAAAATTTTTTTTAACATTTATTTATTTTTGAGAGAGAGCGTGAGCAGGAAAGGGGCAGAGAGAGGGACACAGAATCTGAAGCAGGCTCCAGGCTGTGAACTGTCAGCACAGAGCCCAATGTGGGGCTTGACCTCATGACCCATGAGATGGTCATGACCTGAGCTGAAGTTGGACACTTATCCGACTGAGCCATCCAGGTGCCCCGGAAAGTAGAGTTTAAAGAAAAAGGAAAGAAACGAAAACAGTCTCATGAACCACTTAGGGAAATCTCAGCTTTGGGCTATCCATCCCATGCCAGACACCTTTGAGTTTTACAAATTTTAAGTGAATTATGCTAAAGGGTATTTTCCACCCTAGAAATCTACTTTGGAGCCATAATTCACCTTTAAATTCTAAGGAAAATCCTTTAGGACATTTTACATTAAGGGCCTAGTATCATCAAAATTTCTTTTTCCTATTTCTGAGAAAATCCTTTTCAAAATTATGAAAGTACTATATGCTTGATTTAAAAATTCACACAATATAGAAATAAGTAGAGTAAAAACTAAAAGCTCTTCTTTATCCCTCCCATCTCCCAGAAGTAATCTTCCAGATCATAATCTATGCAGTTTCATACAAAGGCTTTTCATATGTGGTTCTGCCATTACCATGTGACCTTGAGAATATTAATCTGTTTCCTTTTCTGTAAAATGTAGATAAAACCCACCTTATAGGATTGTTCTGAAGATTAAATAACTCACATAAAGTGTTTAGCACAGTGCTTGACATACAGAAAGCACTTTGAAATCTGATGATATGTCTACCCCTATGGCATTGACCTTAGCACTCAGTTACAGAGGCTTTGTTAATTTGGAAAGGGGAAAAAGATTGTTATCTTTTAAATCCTAAGAATCCACGGAAGGAGAAAAGGATATGTATACAACAAAAGAGGGTCTCGACAGAGGAAATGTTTGGAATCACTGGCCAAAACGACAGCAAAGGATGACTTACTTTTTGGGGAGGAGAAAATCTTGAGACTCAGGGCTGAAGAAATTAAGGAATTAAGATGAATGAGGATCCCCATTTTGCTCACTGTTTGTTATCTTTAGTGCTAGCATGAGAAGAGGTTCTTTTCCAGCTATGTGACCTCTTTGGACAGAAGGGAGACCACAGGTGGCTGGGTATAGGTAGGCAGACTGACAGAAAAGTGGACAAGGTCCCAGTGTGTTTATTGAGCCAATTTCAAGGGGATGGACTGCATGCTCTGCACTCCAGCCCATTCTGTCCCCTCCATCTTGCCCTCCAGTGCCACTGCAGTTATCTTGTGTTACTGGACTGGGACACCACCACCAAGTTAGCTATTTTTAATAACTGCTTAGTAACATAATTTCACCCTTCTTCCTAATTTAGTGATGAAGGTTGTTCTGAACTTTCACCATTTTATAATGCTATCGTATAAACTCTTTATACATTTATTCTTGACTTTATGTGAAAATTGTGGAAGCCACATTTAAAAAAACTTTTTTTAAATGTTTCTTTTTGAGACAGAGAAAGAGATAGAGCATGAGCAGTAGAGGGGCAGAGAAAGAGGGAGACAGAAAATCTGAAGCAGGCTCCAGGCTCTGAGCAGTCAGCACAGAGCCCAATGCAAGGCTCAAACTCACAAACCGTGACATCATGACCTGAGCCAAAGTTGGACCCTTCACCAACTGACCCACCCAGATGCCCCATGGAAGCCACATTTCCTGTCAAAGGGCATATATGCATTCAAAACTGCAATTTTTGATAAACTGTATTCTCTGAATTTGAATATATCTCTAGTACTTTGAACAAACATGGGTTCTTTATTTTTGTAATCTAACTGTGGCTCTCAGCTTTACATAACTTCATTATTAGATAGAGATCTAATGTACTGGAATTTTATTTCATTAAGAAGTAAAATTAAGTTAAGAAAATCTCAACAAATGAGAGCAGAAAATGTTTAGATTCAAGCAGTAATCTAACATCCTCTCTATACCTCTAGTTCCAGGTCTCAGGATGGTGAAATGTAATCCTTTCTGTTATTAATGAATTAGCATGTTTGTCTCAAAACAAAACAAAACAAGCTCTATAGGTGTTCAGTCAGTTGTGAATGTTCAGTTACTTTTATAGAGAGGATATGTTTGAGAATTTTGCTTCAGTTTATTGTTGACAGGCATAATCTACTTAATAAATAGTCCCAGGATAGGATTCTGTTTGCACAGTTGAAGAGCATAAGCGTGATATACGTAGTTGCCCTAATTGCTTCTCGGCCTTTTGGCTAAGATCAAGTGTACGTAGTTGCCCTAGCCACTACAGATATACTGTAAATGTTTATTCCACATGAATCTCTGTCAAAACAACATGCAGAAACCATTTCTACTTAAAAAGGTAACATATCCTGTCAAACGACCTACATGATGGTGCTATATTTCCCTTTTGCTAACAGTTTTCTAATGGTGCCCAGGCAGTAAGCTACAGCTTCTATAGCTCACTATCACTCTTCTTCTCAATGCTTCCCCCTTTATAAGTCTCAGTCTCAAAGTTCTCCTCTACCCCCAATCTCTCCTCCTCAGAATTCTTTATGAGGAGAAACAACAATGGCTCAGGTATACCTGACAGTGGAATTCTAACTTGGCTGTTTCATAAGACATACAGTGACATTTGGTCTGCAACAAAAAGATCAGTAGAGCAATCAGGAAAAGAAGCAATTAAAATGAGAATTAAATAATTAAAATTAAAAGGAAAAAGGTAAATGATGAAAAAAACCAGGAGACTATCAAGCTGGGCCTCTTACTGTTCCAAACACCTTTATTCACAAAGAACCAGAGTATTTTCCTATCTCAAGAAATGACATTCACCATTTCAACGTAGAAGCTGTGACTAATGAAGTACATATGTATAACATGAAAAAAAATAAAGATTTTGTTGGGTGACTTGAGAAATATTAGTCTCTGCACATATATGTGTCTTACTAAAATGTGAACTTATGTAAGACACAGGGTGCTAACAAAATCAGTATTTCTTTTTTTTTAATATTTATTTTTGAGAGTGAGAGAGAGAAAGAGAGGGAGAGGGGCAGAGAGAAGGAGATACAGAATCTGAAATAGGCTCTAGGCTTCGAGCTGTCAGCACAGAGACTGACACGGGGCTCAAACTCGGGAACGGTGAGATCACGACCTGAGCTGAAGTCAGATGCTTAACTGAGTCACCCAGGTGCCCCACAAAATCAGTTTTTTTTTTTTTTTTACGGCTTGTAATACCATCTGAAACCATAGCACATTACATTGATATAATTAACATTTTTGATAAACTATTTAAATACTGAATAAATTATGAGGGACAGTTCAAAACTCTTTTTACAAGAGGAAAAAAAAACACAAAAGAGAACAATTTATAAATGAGTTTCAAGAACTACTGTTGTCGAGAGGGTAAGAATTCACACTAGAATAGAAAGATACTAGTAACCCTCCTCTGTCATACTGCTATAAAGAGGCAAATTTCATGTGAGTTGTTCCTGAACTTCATCGATAAGCTGTGTCCATGGGAGAAGTGAGTATAATCTATCTAGATTAAAATAATGCCATTTCCTTCAAAATACCTAAAACTGTAATAAAGCCTAAAAAAATTCTTAAAAATTAAAAAAAATTTTTTCTTAATATTTATTTTTGAGGGAGAGTGAGACAGAGCATGAGTGGGGGAGGGGCAGAGAGAGGGAGACACAGAATCTGAAGCAGGCTCCAGGTTCCAAACTGTCAGCACAGAGCTCAATGCGGGGCTTGAATCCACAAATGTTAAGATCATGACCTGAGCTAAAGTCGGACGCTCAAATGACTGAGCCACCCAGGTGACCCTAACATTTTTTTTTTTAATGTTTGTTTTTGAGAGAGAGAGAGAGAGAGAGAGAGAGAGAGAGAGAACGAACGCAAGTGGGGGGAGGAGCAGAGAGAGAAGGGGACACAGAATGCGAAGCAGGCTCCAGGCTCTGAGCTGTCAGCACAGAGCCCAACGTGGGGCTCCAACTCCCGAACCATGAGATCATGACCTGAGCTGAAGTCAGACACTTAACTGACTGAGCCACCCAGGCACTCCTAGCCTCAAAAAATTCTAATAGAGTTGACCCATAGTAATGGGCCAGGTTCCAGGGTACTCACTGGGCTAGCTAGTCACATCAACATACCCTTAAACCAAGGAATGTTAGGACCCCAAAGAAGAAAAAGGGCTCCTCAAAACACTGCTTAAAGTTGCAAAACAGTGACAAATTTGTTCACTGTCCCTTCTATATCCTTCTCAGATCTTTCATTTTCTGAGATTCCAATATTACTTCTCTACATAGGACTTAGTTACACCATCTCTAAATACTGCTAGACAATTTTACTTGGTTGTCTCATTACCTCAAACCCAATTCTCTAAATTTGAACTAATCTTTCCATAAAAACTACCTCTCTCCCCCAAATCCTTTCTAGAGTTTACCAAATTAATACATTGTTGGGCTGAGGGATATATATATTTTTTTATCATCACTCATTAAATGCCGCCTTTTACATCTTTTGCCTGTATCTCTTCAATGTGACTATTTTAGTTTATACCCAATCAGCTAATGTTTATAATAATCATCCATTAAATATCCTCAGCTTTTGCCTCTCCTTCCAATTCTCAACAGGTTGCTACCAGAGTATTTCTGAAAATATTACTTGTTATTCAAAAAAATTTTTTTTAATGTTTCATTTTTGGGAAATAGAATGTGAACACTCTCCCTCTGAAGCCGACAGCGCAAACCCCAACATGGGACTTGAACCCACGAACTGTGAGATCATGACCTGAGCTGAAGTTGGACTAAGCCACCCAAGCCCCTCTACTTATTTCTTTTCGGTTGAGGAAGATTTTATGATCTCCACTCTTTACAGAATCGAGTGTAAACTCCTTACATTATAGCGAAGACCTTCTAAAACGTGTTCTTGAGCTGTCCTTTTTTCTCTTAGAGATTTTATTTTTAAGTAATCTCCATACCTAACGTGGGGCTCAAACTCACAACCCCAAGATCAAGAGTCACATGCTGCACGAACTGAGCCAGCCAGGTGTACCTTGATGTGTCCTTTTAAGGTTTATCTCCTACGACTTTTCCAAGTAAGACCTCTGAGCTAGATAAACGGGTTTATTTATTGTCTTCTCCATATATCATGCCCCTGTGCTCCTGCACTTCTGCACATACCATTCCCTAGTTAAATGCTTTTTAATTTCTTTACCTACTCAAATTTAGCATTCTTCAGGAGTATGGTCCAATCCCTTACCTCTCTAAAGTGTTCCATGATTACTTTAGGGTGAAGTAATCCCTCTCTCTTCCTAAAAAAGTTATGCTACTTCCTCCATACAATTTCTGTTATAGTAAGTATGTGCTGGGGTGCCTGACTGGTTTGGTCAGTAAAGCAGATGACTCTTGATCTCAGGTTGTACGTTTGAGCCCCACGTTGGGTGTACAGATTTCTTAAAAAATAAAATCTTAAAACAAAGGAGTATGTCTTAGGACATCTATTGTCTCCATTGCTTCAAGTATTTACTGAGTGCAAAGCACTGACTAGGCATTAGCAATACAGCAGGAAACAAGGCAGGTACAGGTTTTACTCTTATAAAGGTTTTAAGAGCATGGGCTTGTCAAGTCGGGTTTGATTTTTGTATCTACCTTTTCAATACAATATGATCTCAGGCAATTAATCATCTCTATTTCCAAATCCTCCTATGAATGAGAGCATAAGTAGAAATGGAGAAGATACTTAGTACAAGGTAGAGCAGAAAACAGTAGGAGTTGGGGTGCCTGGGTGGCTCAGTTGGTTAAACGTCCGACTTGATCAGGTCATGATCTCACGGTTTGTGAGTTTGAGCCCCATGTTGGGCTCTGTGCTGATAGCTCAGAGCCTGAGGCCTGCTTTGGATTCTGTGATTCCCTCTCTCCTTTTGCCCCTCCCCTGCTTGTGTGCTTGCTCCCTTGCTCTCAAAAATAAATAAAACACTAAAAAAAAATGAATAAAATGCAGACAATCAGCTTTACGGTATGATTTTTCTCCAGTATGATTAGCTATTAGGGAACAAGCACTCAGAAGACAGCTCTCAGAGAAGACTGAGAAGAGTTCATCCAAAACTGGCATCTGTTCTGATGGGGAATGTAAATCTGAGGGTATTTGTAAAGGAATGACTTTAATGATCAATCATAAAATCTAGACTAGTGAAGAAGGCAGGTGAAGCCTGGGGAGGCCTAATGGATGGTAAGAAAGTATCTGAAATTAAAAATCTGAAAGTATTAGCACAATGAAGAATTCTGCAATAGGAAGTCTACCTTCTAATTAGTCTTAGGGATAGAGAAAGTGCCTTTTATTTCCATCCCAAAAGATGCTTGAAAATAACAAGAATCAACTTTTTTTTGCTGATTTGGTTAGAGCCCAAAAGCTTACCTGGCATGTTACAGCCAATGTATGACAGATCTGAGTCTTCCCAGTTCGGAATTCTCCAAACATCTCTGTAATTGATCCAGTCTCAATTCCTCCTAAAGTAAGAAATATCCTTTAGCAAAATACAAACATTCAGAAACAATAATCATAGAAATGCCCTTGGAGCTCATCAAAAAGATGTATACATAATTTGGAAATCCATTTTTCAACAATCAGTATTTTTAAAATATTTTTTATTTTGAAATATTTCTAGATCTATAGAAAATTGCCGGGGCGCCTGGGTGGCTCAGTCAGTTAAGCGTCCAACTTCAGCTCAGGTCATGATCGTGTGGTTTTGGGTTCGAGCCCTGCGTCAGGCTCTGTGCTGACAACTTGGAGCCTGGAACCTGCTTCAGATTCTGTGTCTCCCTCTCTCTCTGCCCCTACCCCCTCATGCCTCTGTCTCTTTCTCTCTCTCTCAAAAGTAAATAAACATTAACAAATTTTTTTCTTTTTAATTGCCAAGAAATGTACAGGAAGATCCCATGAATTCTCACCCAGCCTCCTCCAGTGTAACATTTTATATAATTACAGTACAGTATCAATATCAGAAAGCTGTCAGTGATACAGTCATATTTCTCCAACTGTAGGTATACTCATCTCATTTGTGTATCTGTGTACATCTCTATGTCACTGTATCATACATGTGGCTTTAACTAGAGATATAGAACTATACCATCACAAGTCAATAAGCAGTCACTTAAAAAATACAGATATAATATCACCTAGTACTTTCTAATTGTTAATTGTGTATCCAGCATTGTGCTACACATATATATGTACCATTTCACTTAATTCCAATAACCTATAAGGTAGGAAGTCTTTTTATCCTTATTATGAAGATAATAAAACTGAGGCATAGAGATATTAAGTAATTTGCACATGTAATACCTCCAGTAAATACTGGAAGGAGGTACAGATGGGAGGGCTAACACTCAAATTTGAGTGTGATTGCTGATTGCATACTATTTTGTCTCTCCCCAAAATGAAAACTTTAAATGTTGAAATATTTGGTGAAGCACTAAGAAACACATCTTTTAGGGCAGCAGTGTTTTCAAAAGTTCAAAAAAACTTTACAGCTTTCCATAAAGTCCTAAGTATTAGTGTGTACTACCATGGATTCACACTATAACCTAGTCTTCAAACATGGAGTGTTTTAGTTATCAGATTTTCAACCTTGTGTTAAAGTAGGTTATAATTAATTCTTTAGGCAGGGGGAGCTTACCCTCTGAATGTGGTATTAAATGGAAACTGAATTAATTAATTGGCAGACAATTTTGTGTAACTCAGGTCCCACCCTACAGCAGTCTTACTTCTTCAATGTGGATAGTTCTCTTATCTTTTAATCATATCTAACACACGAATTCTACCCAAATACTTTAGTTTTGTTCTGTGACCTGGATGCTTTGCTAACTGTAGTTTACAACAGAGGATAAGGGATTACCATACCTTGAAGTAGTTTGTCAAGTTCTTTGGAGCCGGTAGTAATCTGTATGATCTCTGATCGCCTTTGGTGGAACTCAGTTGCAGTAGTGAAACCCATTGGAACTAACTTGGCTGCCTCAGTCTGGGAAAATTAAGTAATGTCAAATCAACAAAATATGTTTATTATTAATAAAACAAGAACCAGACGTAGAGCGGGATGAAACAACATCTAATAACATTTCTAGAATGATTTCTCTTTATAAAGTTATCAAAATACTAATAGTTCTAGTTCTAGGATTATTTTATCTTTCTGGCAACTAAAGGGTAAACTAATTTAGGGACTCCAAGAAGATTAATTTTGAAATTACTAATTCAAATAATACATCCACATAAATAAAAAAAACAAAAAACTATTACAGACCAACATATATGTACTTCGCCTGACTTAATGACCAATGTGACAATATGGCACAAAGTCCAACAATATATTTAAGTCCTCGTTTCCTGTTCCATCAACCACAGACTTTCTCTCTTAACTTTCTACTTTGTTAAATGAGGACATTTGCCCTTCAGTCTCTTCTCCCTCCATATCTACTTTACCATCTCTGTCACCTGTACCTTTTCTCTTATACTGTAGAGGTTGAAAACATTTAAATCCTATTTTGCAGTCACTGGTAAGTCTTCAACCATCTATCAATTCCAAAATTTAAAAATAAATGCATTCACAAATAATGGAAATTAAATGATACACTCCTAAATAACCAATGAGTCAAAGAAGAAATGACAAGGGAAATCGGAAAATACTTTCAGGTGAATGAAAATGAAGACACAGCATACCACAACTTATGGAATGCAGTAAAAGCAGAGCTTAAAGGGAAGTTTATAGCTATCAATGCCAGTATTATAAGTAAGATCTTAAATCAATAACCTAACTTCCACTTAAAGATACCAGAAAAAGAGTACACTAAACAAAGCAAGCAGAAGAAAGGAAGATTAGAGTAGAAACTAATAAAAGAGAGAATAGAAATACAATAGAGAAAATCAATGAAACCAGGATTTGGTTCTTTGAGAAGATCAGCAAAACTGATAAACCTTTAGTTAGATCAAGAAAAAAATAAAAAGACTAGGGGTGGCTCGGTTGGTTGAGAATCTGACTTCAGCTCAGGTCATGATCTCACAGTTCATGGGTGCAAGCCCTGAGTCAGTCTCTGTGCTGGAGCCTGATTCAGACTGTGTGTGTGTGTCTGCCCCTTCCCTGCTTGTGCTCTTTCTCTCTCAAAAATAAACATTAAAAAAATAAATAAAAAAGAAATAAAAAGACTCATCACAAATCAGGAATGAAAGAGACAACGGTTCATGGATTTGAGCCCTGAGTCAGTCTCTGTGCTGGAGCCTGATTCAGAATGTGTGTGTGTGTGTGTGTGTGTGTACGTGTGTGTGTGTGTGTGTGTCTCTCTCTCTGCCCCTTCCCTGCTTGTGCTCTTTCTCTCTCAAAAATAAACATTAAAAAAATAAATAAATAAAAAGACTCATCACAAATCAGGAATGAAAGAGACAACATTACTATCAAGCTTACAAAATCATAACTCTATGCCAACAAATTACGTGACTAATGAAATAGGCTAATTCCTATTTAAAAAACTATTAAATATTAAAACTCACTCAACTAGAAAAATAATCCAAGCCAAGGTACAAGTGATTAGTTGAACTTGAATCTAAATTCAATAAAATAAACTGTGTGAGTCTAACTACAAAAAAAAGAAATATCTGAATACATTTATAGCAAGTACTGACATTAAACGTGTAATGTAAAAACTTTCCACAAAGAAAAAGTCTAATACTATTTCACTTGAAAACTCATTACAGGGGCGCCTGGGTGGCGCAGTCGGTTGAGCGTCCGACTTCAGCCAGGTCATGATCTCGCGGTCCGTGAGTTCGAGCCCCACGTCGGGCTCTGGGCTGATGGCTCAGAGCCTGGAGCCTGTTTCCGATTCTGTGTCTCCCTCTCTCTCTGCCCCTCCCCCGTTCATGCTCTGTCTCTCTCTGTCCCAAAAATAAATAAATGTTGAAAAAAAAAAATTAAAAAAAAAAAAAAAACTCATTACAATGTCTGTATTACAGCTTTGTGAATTTTATTCACTGCAGAATCAAACGGTGGACTAAAATACTAAAGTTCCAGTGTCAATAACTCAATGTCTCTCAAAGGCTTCTGCTGTCAAATTCAAATGAATTGTTTTATACGCCAGCAGTTTCAAAATCATGCTCCATTTACCTTGCTTTTATATCTGAATGTCTTTCTCTAGTATTTTCTGATTTTATCATTTCTCAAATTTTCTGACCTCTCAATCTTACCATGTGTTCTACTGAAACCCTTCTGCCTGAAGTTCCTTTTCTTTTCCAAACTGGGGTCTTTGCTCTCTAGACTACTGTCTAAAGACACTCCCTCACTGAGTTCTTAGGTTGGAGTCTAACCAAGATCTTTGGTTTTCCACCTTCATTTTGTTAAAAGAATATCATCAAGTACCTTCCTAAGAAAGTGGATATGAGAAAAATGTTCTGAATTCTTGTATTCCTGGGGTGCCTGGCTGGCTCAGTTGGTTAAGCATCTAACTCTTGATTTCGGCTCAGGTCATGATCTCACTCACGGTTGGTGGGTCCAAGCCCTATATCCCACTTTGCACTGACAGTGCAGAGCCTGCTTGGGATTCTCTCTTGCTCCCTCTCTCTCTCTGCCCCTCTCCTGTTTGCATGCATGCTCTCTCTCTCAAAATAGATAAACTTAAAAAAAAAAGTGAATTCTTGTATTGCTGAAAATGTTTTATTCTGCCTGATTAATAAAACTGCTACAAACAGAATTCTAGGTTAAAATTATGTGCCCTTAGAATTTTGAAGACACTGCTCTACTAGCTTCTACCTGCTAGATTTCTGAAAAGAAATGTGGTCTTTCTGATTTTCTGTTCCTTTAGTGTTGCTTTTTTTCCCCTCTGAAATCTTTCAGAATCTTCTCTTCATGATTGGTATACTGAAATTTCACACTCACATGTCTAGGTGTGGGTCCTTGACACTCCATGAGGTCATACTATATAAGACTTCTGCTTCCCTTTAGCTCTGGAAATTTTTTTAATGTTTGTTTATTTTTGAGAGAGACAGAGTATGAGCAGGGGAAGGGGAGGGGTAGAAAGAGAGGGAGACACAGAATTTGAAGCAGGCTCCAGGCTCTGAGCTGTCAGCACAGAGCCCGACACGGGGCTTGAACTTGCGAGCCATGAAATCATGACCTGAGCTAAAGTTGGGCAATTAACCAACTGAGCCACCCAGGTGCCCCGGAAATTTTCTTAAATTATGTCTGTGATAACTTCTTTCCTTTTTTCTATGATCTTTCTGTAACTTCTATTAAATGGACAGACTGCTGGATAGATCAATGAACAGACAGGTGATAAGTCAAAAATATTAAAATGTTAATGGTAGAGTCTAGGTGGTGGGTATATGAGTTTTCATTATAAATTATTTCAGCATTACAGTAAGCTTAAAAATTTTAAGAACAAAATACTAAGGAAAAAACACAGGAGATGCTTTCCCTGTTTGTCATTTTAACTCCACATTTTCTAGTCACTGAGCTCCTACAGGAACGGAATGGTAAACAGTGAAATGTTAAGTAAAAACCATGCAAATGCCTAATCTGGAGAACTTTACTTTTACTCTCACACTTGCATAATGTTTACTTTCGTACGTGCTAGGTGAAATCTTAAATCTATAGGCTTTTTTTTTTTTTTTTGCAATGTTTCAGCAGCTTATTTATTTTGAGAGAGTGCGAGAGCGCAAGAGCACACATGCACGAACAGGGGAGAGGCAGACAGAGAACCCCAAGCAGGTTCCACGCTGTCAGCTCACAGTCTGACTTGAGGCTTGATCCCAAGAACCATGAGATCATGACCTGAACTGATAGCAAGAGTTGGACACTTAACCAACTGAGCCACCCAGGTACCCCCTTAAATCTACAGCCAAGAATGGGGCGCCTGGGTGGCGCAGTCGGTTAAGCGTCCGACTTCATCCAGGTCACGATCTCGCGGTCAGTGAGTTCGAGCCCCGCGTCGGGCTCTGGGCTGATGGCTCAGAGCCTGGAGCCTGTTTCCGATTCTGTGTCTCCCTCTCTCTCTGCCCCTCCCCCATTCATGCTCTGTCTCTCTCTGTCCCAAAAATGAATAAACGTTGGAAAAAAAAAAAATTTTTAAAAAATAAAAAAAAAAATCTACAGCCAAGAACTACCAAACTCTTGAACACGAGACACAGAATAGCAAATAAAAATATATAGGAGCGACTGGGTGGCTCAGTCAGTTGAGCATCCGACTTCAGCTCAGGTCATGATATTGTGGTTCACGAGTTTGAGCCCCACATCAGGCTCTGTGCTAAAAGCTCAGAGCCTGTAGCCTGCTAAGGATTCTGTGCCTCCCATTCTCTCTCTGCCCCCTCCCCCGCTCACACTCTCTCAAAAATAAACATTAAAAAATTTTTTAAAACATGTAACAAAAAATATCTGTGCTGAATCTGTCACTGTTCATAGTACACCAAGAGAACATAGTTCAACAAAAGCCAATTACAAATAAACTTTGAAATGTGGAAAAGACCACCGAAGAATTGTGCACCTTCTGAATCAATTATTTCACTCACAAAATCTTTCTCTCTCAACCATTTCGACAGATATACTGAAAATGGATTTTATTTTCCTTTCTCCACTATGATAGTAGGTATTCTTGGAGAAAATCTGAATTTCAAAGACTTTGGGGGAATAGAAATGGGAGGGAAGAGTTACAGTAACTGAAGAAATCTTCTTTAACCTTTAAATTTTTTTTTTTTTAACATTTATTTATTTTTGAGACAGAGAGAGAGCATGAACGGGTGAGGGTCAGAGAGAGGGAGACACAGAATCCAAAACAGGCTCCAGGTTCTGAGCGGTCAGCACAGAGCCCGACGCAGGGCTCGAACTCATGGACTGCGAGATCATGACCTGAGCCGAAGTCGGCCGCTTAACCGACTAAGCCACCCAGGCGCCCCTTCTTTAACCTTTAAAAGCAAATAACACAACTAATCTTTACCCACTAGAAGCTCACAATATAAAATGTCTGAAATCAGAGAGGATGGAAAAATAGACTCATCTCTATATCATTCTGCATATCTTATTTCACTTTATTACAGGTCTATATTTGTGTTTTCACAAAAGCAAAACATTAATTTGATTTCTAAAACTAAGGTCAGACAGGCATAATCAAAGATTCTGTCAGGATTTTTTCTGTCACAAATAATAATGCCCAGAAAAAAAACAACAAATAGACTTTAGAGACACTTACTGGCTTAGTATGATAAACACTCTTTAAGGTATTAGGGGCTCCGAACTATTATTTCCAATTAAGTTACCAATTCAACAAACATATTTAAGTAATACAATAAATGACAACTTTATACTTCGATAGATAGCAGTATCATTCCTCTAAAGATTTAAATTAAGAATTACAAATTTTTTTAACGTTTACTTTGAAAAACTACACGTGCACACAGGAGCAGGGGAGAGGGAGAGGGGGGGGGAGAGAGAGAGAGAGAGAGAGAGAGAGAGAGAGAGAGAGGATGGATGGATGAATGAATGAATGAATGAATGAATCCCAAGCAGGCTCTGAGATATCGGCGCAGAGCCGAATGCGGGGGCTTGATCCTAGGAACCATGAGATTGTGACCTAAACTGAAAATAAGAGTCGGAAACGCAAATGACTGAGCCACCCAGACACCCCAAGGATTATAATTTTTGAGCCCAGACTGAATTACTATTACAGAATGGTCTAAAGAAATGAAGTTAACACTTCTCCCAGTGCTTAAAAATTCAAAGCTCGGGGCACCTGGGTGGCTCAATCGGTTAAGCGTCCGACTTCGGCTCAGGTCATGATCTCACGGTGAGTTCGAGCCCCGTGTCAGGCTCTGTGCTGACCACTCAGAGCCTGGAGCCTGTTTCAAATTCTGTGTCTCCTTCTCTCTCTGACCCTCCCCCGTTCATGCTCTCTCTCTGTCTCAAAAATAAATAAACGTTAAAAAAAAAAATTCAAAGCTCTTAGTAGAATACCCAGTAAAACAAAATTCATCAGATTGTGTACATATTAATGTAGGAGATAAGTACTCACAAATCTCAGATATTGTCCATTTGACTAAGTTACATAGCAGTACATACACTGAAGCTACCCCATAACAAAAGATGCAGTTTTTCTTGAAGATTCTTTAGCCTTTGAAGATCTTTTCAGTGAAAAATTTCTGTGAAACTATAATAGTAATCAAAGTAAATATGAAAATACAATTTTATAGATATTTACTTTATGCTATAAAAACTTCAAGGGTAGGGGGTGCCTGGGTGGCTCAATCAGTTAAGTGTCTGACTTCAGCTCAGGTCATGATCTAAGAGTTCATGAGTTTGAGCCCCACATCCAGCTCTGTGCTATCAATGCAGAACCTGCTTTGAATCTTCTGTCCTTGTTTCACTCTGCCCCTCATCTGCTCATGTTCTGTCTGTCTCTCTCTCTCAAAAATGAATAAACATTAAAAAACAAAACAAGGGGCGCCTGGGTGGCGCAGTCGGTTAAGCGTCCGACTTCAGCCAGGTCACGATCTTGCGGTCCGTGAGTTCGAGCCCCGCGTCAGGCTCTGGGCTGATGGCTCAGAGCCTGGAGCCTGTTTCCGATTCTCTGTCTCCCTCTCTCTCTGACCCTCCCCCGTTCATGCTCTGTCTCTCCCTGTCCCAAAAATAAATAAACGTTGAAAAAA